TAGAATTTTATAACCACACCAAAATGGTAGGGACAGAACTATAATATAAAGAAGCATTTAATGACATGAGAGTTTGTGAATGAATCTTGGGGGCAAACATTCTCTGAAGCTTCTGAGATGACACCAATAAGGAGTCAACTTCTGCCTACTGCAGTCCCTATCCATAAACACACACTGGACCCACACAACCCTCGAGCAATGTCAGAAGGTCCTGTGATACACCACATAATGGCCCTCCATTTGGCCACACTGGGAACAAACATGGATGTTGAAACTCCCTGCATTTCCCCAATCTCTACATTAACTACTGGCTTGCTTTTGGCACTCTTCCTCCTGGACAAGTCTGATCCCGTAATTAACTTTTGTTCTTCATCTATATCTGACAGTTAACCTAACTTGAGTCCAGCTCTGATTTTTAAAATACTACAAGACCCATTTCTAATAGTTGACTTCAAGTCCAACACCCAGCATAACCTCAGGGAAAGATCCCCTGTGCCAGATGCTGCTGGTGCCTCATTCATAACCATGATTCTGGGCATCCCAACCTTGATCCCACTGACATCAGGTATAAATTTTTTTCTCACTCTTTTGTCTGGCCACTTACAAACTTGCCCCATGTTTGAAGGAGATCCAATCTCACAAAATTAATCATGCACTGGAATTGTCTTTAATTAATAACATGTACATATTGATACATGAAGGCACAACTCTTTGCTACTAAGACAATGCAACCCTGATACATATCTTCCACTTACTCCTTAAATTGACCTTGCTCTGTTTTTGAATGATAGGCAAATGCTTGGTTGGGCATTACTTTTGACTTACAACTTTCCCTGTGTCATTTCCTTTTCTATCCTTATTGGTATATAATGAGATCAGTTCACAACCAACAATTTTTATTGGGACACTTTTATTCAAGTGATCCAGGCACAAACACAATAAAACATGCCTCTCTTCAGACCGTAAAAAAAATCAGCCTTTTATTCTTGACCTCTAAACTTCATCACATCTGAGTAAGAGGTAGGCAGACCAGAGAACAAAGGGACAGAGTCTGTCCCTTACCCAGTTTTTAAGACTCACCTCTGTGTCCACGGGCAACAATTACAGATGGGATACCAAACATGAAGTCTCCTATTAAGTCCAGGAACAGCTCTCTCTTTCGGGCAAGGTCATCTGTCCCTCCTAAATACTTCTCAATAGCCATTGGAGTCAGTTCCTCAGGAACATTCTGAAATACATCAATACAGTGAGCAACAGTGATTCTGTAGCCATTCAACAAGACCTTAAGATAGTGAAAGTCTTGAATATTGTAAAA